TCATCAATGTTTCCCTCTGTCTCTGACTCTCTTTCTCCCCTTCTCCTTCTCCTATCTTCCACTCTCTCTAAAATCAATTAAAACATTTTTTTAAAAAGAGAGAGAAGTAACATTTGACTTCTGCTTCACCTTAGTCCCTCCTGGAAAAATAGGAACAGCAGAAAGCTGCAGTATCATATCTCTATTTTCTCCTCCCTCTTTTGGGTATGATGTTTTGTTAGCCATGCTTTGAGATTTATGATTAGAAAAGTCATCCAAGCAAATGAGTAGAAGAGTCTGTTTGTAATTTGTAAGACTCATTTGAAAGAGACAAGAGTATATTACTGTCCTTTTCCATGCTATATATTACTCAAATAAGCTTGGGTATTTAAAAATCTTGTTTGTATGAATAAATATATTATTAATGATTATTGTCAGAGATTGTAACCTGTTAATATTCAGTATTACTGAAAATGTTTAATTTTCTCTAGAAAGCTTTTTTCTCCTCTTTCTCTTCCATCTTATAAGGATATATTCAATAGTGATAGTTGCCCACTATTATTTCCTGCACTAGTATTAGGCAGCGAGTGCTTTCTAATATGGAAGTGCTGGTTTCCAATGCAAACCCTGCTCATAGTCCTCAAAGTTTTCATCATTGAGAACAAATAGGAGAGGGAATAAATTGGTTATTGGTTATATATAAGAGGTAGTAGGTTCTATAAAAAGTATATTATTGGCTATTTGTTAACAAGTATTTTGAGACATTTCAAATGATTACTACAATAGCCAAATTCTTTCCGTCTGTCTATTCTATGTTATTTTTCTTATTATTTATAAACTTGTGGTTTGGTATAAGTTGCAAAGGAATTGATCCTCTTAGTGAAGCTGAGCCTGCATTTCATTATCTCCCAATGTCATTATGAATATTAAAGGATGACAGAAGATCTGTCTGTCACAGCCAGCAGCAAGTGGTAGTACTAAGAGTTTCTCCTGATAAGGTGTCTTCTGCAGGTGATGTTATTACTCAGTGAGATGTCCACAAAGAATGCAAGAGACAGGACTTCTGCCATTCAGGAGCTCATACGCAAGTGGACAACATATAGAAATTGATGAATACTATGATGGAAATGTCCAGAAGCTGCTATGGAAAAACACAGGATTCTTTTGTTTTTTTTGTTTTCCTGCTGTGGTTAGAACATGATTGGACTTGGAACTGAAGAATTGGTTTTGCTTGCTCACTGTGTGGCTTTTCCCAGGCCTCTTAGTCAAGTTGAGCCCGCATTTCATTATCTCCCAGGGCTGTTGTTGGGAAGAACAATTGAATTATGTGGTGAAACTACTTTGTAAAGTGAAATATGAACATCAGAGTTTTCTATTCAATTCAGTAGAATGGCTTTAACACTGTAAGCCATATTGTATAAAATCTCAGCATCCTCTCCCCACCCTAACCCTAACCCTAACCCTAACCCTAACCCTAACGCCAGAGCACAGGAATGGGTAAAACTACTCCCTTCAAATGAGTACCTCTTGGTACAGGAAGGAGATGAGGTGGTGTGACTGTGATTTGCCAAAAGGCACAGCAATGAGGAGTAAAAAGCAGAAACAAGAAAGCAGATTTTTGCTTCCCAGTTTAATAGCTGGTAGAATTTATTTCATGAGTCTTCCTTAAAATCATCACCCATGAAATTCAGCTTACCTTGATGGGAAATTGAGTAGGTTAATGAAATATTTAAACTGTGTTCACTTTCTTAGTGGAGCAACGGTTTGAATTCCCTAGAAGAAAAATATACTCTACCTGAATAATTACCATAATAACCACCCCCTCCCTTTACTTTTGTGAAGAATGAGATGGATGTGGTGAGAAGTCATTTTAAATGTTTATCCTTGCTCATAAGTAAAAGAAACTGTCCACTGGCTTAAAACGAGCAGGCTGTCTTGCCTGGTTTAGTATAGAAATAGCCACATGCAGTTAGACACTTTGCTGATAGTTCACTGTCCTGGGTACCACCACATTTTTTAACTTACTGCATTTTCTCCCTAACATGAAGTACAGATAGTATAGGGATAATTAGCAAGCACACATTTGCACACTGGCAGTGCTTATAGCAGGCACTTGTTAAGTGAATGAACTCTAAGTTAAAGCTCCGATTTTATCTCTCAGCTTCTAATTTTACTGAAGGACAAAAGAGCAACAAGTGGGACCTCAGTTCTCAAACTTAATTCATTCCACAAGGCTGTTTGAGAAGGGATTTGTTTGGAAACCGAGTTATTTTTAACCATTAGAAATAATGTACATTGAATTAATCTGTTCCAGACCCACAGCTGATTCCGTTTTAACCTTTTTAATGTATAGTACATGTATAATGTATTGTTTAATCTATAAATAAACACTTCTTAAATTTATCAAGCTATCCCTCATAACCTAAAGGAATCCCTTTCAGCACTGGTTCCAGGGGTGTCTTTGAGGAGGTCAGGATGCCAATGAGGCATCTTCACTTTTTCACATATCACTGCCTCCGAAATGCTATCACTGGCTAACTGCTTTCCTTTATCCAAATCAACAGCAGTTTTTCTACTTATTCTGTTGCCTTTGTTGTTTTGTGATCGCTTTCACACCCTTAGCGACATTAGCACTCTTGATGGCCTCTTTATGCTTTAAAATTGCACTAATCCTCATTTGGCCAGCCACAAAAGCATTCTCTCCTTTGTTTGTTGCCTGAGAGACACTGTTTGCCATGCTGAGGTATCAGCATGAAAGGGTTGTCAGATTGAAAACTAAATTTTTTGTCCACAATCAAGACATTTTTTTCTGTGAACATCTCGGTGGAGAACCGAAATGTTCCAGAAGGGAGACATTTGAAAACTGGGGTTGGGCTTCCAAATATATGGTGCTGAGGGTAGAAGTTGTCGCTTTCATCATTTTTCTTATGCTTTGTTCAATCAGTGTCTCCCTGTCTCCAGCTTTAAAAAAATATCTAACTTCTTAGATGAGATGTTCTTTAACTTCCTATATGACAGGGGCATTTAAAAAATATTCCTATACATTCCCCCCATCTTTCCTTTAGCCTCAGAGGAAAAAAAAAATACTTCCCCATCACTAAGCACCCATCCACTAGCATCCTTGACTCGGTCTCCTCCCTTCTCTCAGGCCATGCCTCACCTGGCATTTTTATATTTTCTCATATCTCCAACACTTGCTTCTCTGTTCTTAGTCTGTAATTGCTCACGTTTCTCCTAATTTGTCAGGCCACATTTGCCTTCAGTTACTCCCCAGCTTATACTTTCCGGATCCAAGTCCTCAAAAGTGTTACCATTCTTCCCTTGCTTTCTCCCCACCCACTCTTCAGGCCATTGCAGTCTGACCTCTGTCTACCACCCTGACTCACCAAAGCTGCTATGGATGTGATCGCTGGTGATAATCATTGACAAACAACAACCACCTTATTTATGTTTCTGATGGCATCTCTACCAAAGAATGATCTACACTTAGTAGGTTAAACCTTAACTGCAGTATTTCTCTAGCAGTGTCAGAAGATTCTAGTGATTATAGACATCGTTTCAAGGATAGATAGATAGATAGATAGATAGATAATTATAAATAAGTACACATACACATATAAATTGTTTATTTTTATGTATAAGTGCATTGAATTACACTCACTCTACACTTATAAATTCTAGGGTCCTTAATACATTTTAAAACATCTTCTATGACTTGGCCTCTTAATCTCCATCTTAATCTCTTGCCATATTTATTTATTTATTTCATAAAAGGAATGTCACATTACTGTGGGTCCTTATATACACAAGGCTTTTCTTTTTCTTCTTAAGCCTGTGCTTTTGTGCTTACCCTTTGGGTATATGGAGTTCTCTGTCTTCCTCCATTCCCCTAACTTTTAGCTTTGAATTTCTATTTATGTTTTATAAGTTAGCTCCACCATCACCTCTTCCAGAATGAACTAAGCTAACCAGGGTCCTTCTATTTGCATAGCACCCTGAACAAGTCTCTCTCTAGGTACACCGTATTGCTTGTTGGACTCTACCAGATGGCGACCTCCTTCAGGTTTTGTGGTTTCTCCTCTGTATCTTTCAAGGGTGGCACACAGTTGAATGACAGATAGTGATATAGATGAATCACCTTTACTTCCTACCAGTAAAGATAAAAACCTTTTCCACAGTCAGCCTAGTCAATTTCTTTCAGTTTTTCATCTATTCAATTTTTACAATACTGCTTTAAAATGTTTAATGCATATCTACATGCTTCATTTAGCATTTTAAATTAGAAAAGTCAATGTCTAGTTTTTATATGAAAATATCTTAGTGAAGTATGGTAGCAGTCATCTCAGGTAGAAACTGTAGTTTAACTTTAACCCTGCTGTTTGGCTTCTGTACTTATTTGCTTTGTTTAACTATAGGAAAGTTACTTTGATTTTCTGAACTTATGTATGCTATCCCAATCGATGAATACTCCGTTGTTGTTGGTTTGAATATCCCATTGATTGTGATCTTACTGGTTATCGAAGCACATTCTTCTGTACCTGGGAACCAGGACAGCACAATTATCCTAAATTGCCTCAGTGGCTACAGATAATGCATTCCGGTTGACTCAGTGGTCCCAAGACCCGATGGCTCCAGATAATGAGTTCCTGTCAACTCAGTGGTCCCAAGACCCATGGCTCCAGGCAATGTGTTTCCGTTGATTCAGTGATCCGGAGACCCAAAACTATAATTTAACTAACTTGCTCAATTCTGCTTCTGTAAACTGCTTTTTTGCAAACCAGGTTCCTCATTCCAAACCCTGAGATGTAATCAATACCTTTGTGATTTTTGCCTATATAAATCTGGTGTTGGGGCTAGGTAATTACTGCGAGATTTGGAGAGGAAAATGACCCCTCATAGTCCCAGATTTGCAATAAATGTGACTCCTTAATTCGACTTCTTGAGGCGTCCTTGTGTGATTCACGGGGTACATTACAACATTAGGTACGGGAAGATTACGCTTGTATTTCTTTCCATTTCAGGAGACTCATCTTCCCAGCTGCAGGCCCAGGAGCCTGGAAGTTCTGAAAATACATTAACTGGGCTGGAAGATTCTGGGTGTGATTTATCAAATGAGCAGAGAACTGAACCTTCAGAGGTGTCTCAAGATTTTGTGGAGAGCTGCACCCCCACACTCTTTCCACCACTGCCAATTGCAAAGAAACACTGTGCGACTTCAAAAAATCCTTTGTCTTCTCACATGCAATTTTTGCAACATCTACTTGAACTGAAGAACTGGACAGGATCAGGGAGTCTTAAAACAGACTTAAGCCACTTGGAGAACACCTCTTCCACGGTATCTGATTCTGTTTTTCAGTTGCTAGAAGGCCTGATCACTTTTTACCGTGACCCAAAATTTCCTCTTTCAAGCTTTTGGACAGAAGCTGTTGCTACTTTAGCTAGACTGCTCAGTGATTGTAACTTATCTAGTCATATTCTTAAAACGTGTTCCAAGAAGTTGGAAGAATTTGAGAAAACTCTACTGCACATTATTTTAAGGAGCAACCATATAAATCGGGTAAGTAGTAAACCTCTTCTATTTATGAAATCTCTAATATATCTGTAATTTTGGTGAACATTCCCATTGGATAATGGCTATTGCTGTCCCTTAGCCTTGTGGCTCAGTTTTTAGTTGGACGTTTTGCAGCTGTTACCAGTCGTCATGTCCCCACCTCTGCCTCTGATTGCTACAGCGTTGCTGTCTACATAGATGCATATGTGGAAAGCTTGTGCCTTTCTACTTTGAATTACCCTCTCTGTTCTTTATCACATCCTTGGATTCTTCTCTTGTTTTGCCCTGCCTGCATTTACTTCCTATTGCTTAAAAAGTCTCAGTATTTTTTTTAAAAAAACCAGTAATATTGATAGTTTCCCAATCTATAACGTCTATGAATTCCCTATACTGTATTGATTTTTTTTTCTTTTTTCTGACATTGACTAACAGAGGCCTGGAAGTCAAAGAATATTTTTTTATCTTCTTTTAGAATTTCTCTTGTAAGTGATATAATACCCTGTGGACCCTCTGCAGATATGGGTTAATTGAATAAATTGGCTGAAGAACACATAATATATGGCTTTATTACAGTTTTTTTTTCTTAATTTATTGAACATTGCTTAGAAAGGTTGGCTCAGGGACTCTTTTTTCACAAATGACATTGAGGTAAACTGAAGTGTTTTGTTGTCTGGCTCTTGAGACATAATGGAGAGTTGTTTTCTTTATTACGTTCTATTTTCCTCACTATCTGATCCTTTGGGAAACTCCAAATGCCTTTACATTTTAATCCTTTTTAATTGACAACTGAAAATCTCACAGAGGAAACTAAAAGGTCTGTCTAACTTATTAACTTTATTTCACTAGAGGAAAATGTTGTTGGACTTTGTTTTGTTAGCTATATCATTATTGAGTGTTTGTCCTCAGCCATTATCTAATGCTCAGAGTTTTGGTACAGTGTAGACTACCTGAATTTTCAAATCTCTGACAAAATTTGAATAACCTAATTTGTTGCATATATATCTGTTCTTTCCTTCTCTCTTAAGGTATGATTTAATTAACATTATAGAACACTTCATGATTAACCTTTTGGCATTTGTGAAAATCATTGAATTTTCTGTCTGGCAAACTGATTTTTTTGGGGCATATTTTTGCTTTCTTCTTTTAAAACTACTTTAGACAGGTTTTGTGTGATTTGGACCCTTTAAGATGCTCTGATTTATATTTCTTATCAGTTACCACATGGTGTTTTCAGTCTAGTCTTTCTCTTACTTAAGGATTGAACCACCCACGATTAGCCTTAGGAATTGTATGGAAGTAAAGGAGGGTAGAAGAAGCTTCTGATGGTACAGATGGGTCTTAAGTACATTTTCATGACATTTGTCATGCTGCAAGCCATTGTTGAGTAGTTAGAAAAATAAGTAAATGAATGGCTTTGGTATTTTCTCAGAGATGTAATTTTTGCGCTTAGAGCAGCCGTGGGCAAACTACGGCCCACGGGCCGGATCCGGCCCCTTTGAAATGAATAAAACTAAAAAAAAAAAAAAGACCGTACCCTTTTATGTAATGATGTTTACTTTGAATTTATATTAGTTCACACAAACACTCCATCCATGCTTTTGTTCCGGCCCTCCGGTCCAGTTTAAGAACCCATTGTGGCCCTCGAGTCAAAAAGTTTGCCCACCCCTGGCTTAGAGAGAGAATTATAAAATAGCACACTGGACTTAACAGTTAGGATGATGATCTATAAATATGTTTTAATGACATTTTATCGGGATTTTTTTTCCTCCCCAGTAAAAGCACCTTAGACTAAGTCATTAAAATTGTTGTCACCCTTACCATCATTATGACCATCACCATCATCTCCCAGTTATGTTCAGAAAGCTTCTTTATTAGAGCAATTGAATACTGATTGCTCTTTATAAATGCTTTTCTGTCTTTTGTAGCCTTCTTGAGTAATAAGCAAAGTCTCAGAAAGAATATATTTTGACATGAAATATAGGACAGCTCCTATTATTGCATTTTTATTGATACTACTCTTGATTGATTAAAACAAAATAGCATAGTTTAGAAAAAATATACTCCTTTGGAAAAACCTATTTGCATAGATTAGAAGTGTTTAATTAAATTATACTGCTTAAAAACTTGAGCTCTGCTATTGATTTCATTTAAGTGAGCTTATGTTTGTATAATGTAATAGGAAAATTTGTGGTGTGAATACTTTAATATTCTGACAGGAATTGTAATAGTTATGCTTTAAATAAAATATAAATCTTCAACCGCATGTTCTCAATACATTTAGTCATAAAATTATTCTAACTTAAGTTTTCTGTAATGAACAATAAGAACTTGTTTCTGTCTGGAAACTGATTTTTTTTTCTTTCTTCTTTTAAAACTACTTTAGACAGGTTTTGTGTGATTTGGATCCTTTCAGATGCTCACATTCATATTCCTTATCAGTTACCACATGATGCAAAGATGTTGAGGTCATCATTGTGAATATTAGTTATGTCAGGGCTGTATGCATTCAAGAGATAGGAAGTACCCTGAAATTTGTTTTAAATAATTCCCCGATATTAGCTTGGTTGAAATTATTTGTAAGTTTAGAGGGAAAAATGTGTGATTTGTGAATTTTCAGATTTAGATAAATCCTATTTATTTCATGCCATTTTAGAAACTTTATATTTATTTAATAACAATTTTTTAAGGAATTGTTATCTTAGACCAGGGTTGGGGAACGTTCCGGCCTGCAGGCCGTATAAGGCCCACAAAATCCTTTTGGTCTGGCCTTGCCAAGGCATTGGGGGTGAATTAATTAAATGTTTGACCAATATAGCAGGCTAATTTTTAAGTTGATATTTTGTATGGCTGGTGAGTGATGTTATAAATAGTCAAATGGTCCCTTGGCAGATAAAAGTTCCCCACCCCTGTCTTAGACCTACGTCTGTACAGAAGTCGCCCCTTATTCACAGTTTTGCTTTCCATTTCAGTTATCTGCGATCAGCCATGGTCTGAAAATATTAAATGGAAAATTTTAGAAATAAGCAGTTCATTGTTTTAAATGGGAAACTCTTCTGACTAGGGTGATGAAATCTTGCCCATCTTGAATCATCCCTTTGTCTAGCATATCCACCTATTAGTCACTTGGTAGCCATCTGGGTTATCAGATCGGCTATCCTGGTATTGCAGTGTTTGTGTTCAAGTAGTCCTTATAGTAGCCTAAGGCAATATCAGTATGCCTATCTGTGGTCGGCAAACTGCGGCATGCGAGCCACATGCAGCTCTTTGGCCCCTTGAGTGTGGCTCTTCCACAAAATACCACGTGCGGACGCGCACGTACAGTGTGATTGAAACTTCGTGGCCCATGCGCAGAAGTCGGTATTTTGTGGAAGAGCCACACTCAAGGGGCCAAAGAGCCGCATGTGGCTCGCGAGCCGCAGTTTGCTGAGCCACATTTTGCAGACTACTGGCCTACGTCATTCTCCTCACTTCATCTCATCACGCAGACATTGTATCATCATGAGAAGAAGGGTGAGCACAGTGCAGTACAAGAGAGAGGGAGACCTCATTCACATAACTTTTATTACAATATGTTGTTATAATTTTCTATTTTATTTTTTTATTTTTAATTATTATTGTTAACCTTTTACTTGCTTAATTTATAAATTAAACTTTATCATGTATGTATAGAAAAACCATAGTATATGGAGAGTTCAGTGCTATTTGTGGTTTCAGGCATTCACTGGGGGATTTGGAGTGAATTCCCTGTGGAAAAGTGGGGACTAGTGTATTATGTTTTTAGGATAACCATTAGGTGGGACAAGAAGGTATAATGTACAATGACATATTTGGCATATATAGAAGATATGTGTCTTGAAACCAGATGGCTTACAGAGGTCTATACTAGGCCTATTATAGGGGACCTGGGATGTAGACTTAACTTGGTTGAGCTGTCCTCTATTTGCAGGCTCCAGTATAGTACCCTTCCTCACCAGCCTGTGTACTTGCTTTGTGTTGGGAATGTTTACTGTAGAGCAAGCATGTCAAACTCAAAGGCTAACATGGGCCAAATATACAGCTTTAAGTTTTTGTGGGCCAAAAAAAAAAAAAAAGCTTCAAGAGGAACCAAGATGGCAGCATAGGTACACAATTGTACTTGCTGCCTCTCACAACCACATCAAAACTACAACTAAAAGACAAAACGGATATCATCCAGAACCATGGGAAGGCTGGCTAAGTGGAAATTCTACAACTAGAAGGAAAGAGAAAAGCGCATTAAAGCTGGTAGGAGGTACAGAGGTGCGTGGAAATGGGCTGGCAACTTGGTATGCTGTTGTCTTTTTCAGTCATGAGGGAGTTACAAGCTCCCAATTGCTCTGAACTCCAGTTTCGGGTGAGACTCTGGGGACCCAGACTCATTTGGGGAGAAACTGGACTGTCTGGCATTGAACCAGAACGCAAGGGCGGCTTTCCCGCAGAGGAGCTTGCAGTGATCATTGTTCCTGCATGGGGCCGTAGGACACAGAGACCCAAGGACCTCTCCGAGGCAGAGCAGCCATTGCGGTTTGCTCCGCCCTGATTCTCTGAGACCCTTCCCCACCCAATTTACAACCCCATCCAAGCTGTGTGCAGAGGCTTTTGCATATGAATGGCCTGGCCTTTTGCAATCTAAAACCTAACAAACTGCAGCTGGGTCAAAGAGCACCAAAGCCTCCAAAAGAAGGCCTAGATAGCAGCCTGCATTGCTTCACAACCAGGCCTCATCTGGACACTTCCAAACCCCAAACAAAGAGGAGGAATCTGCAGATCTCTCTGTAGCTCCTGCTGGGTGGCCTCAGGCAGTGGCTGACATTGCACCTCCTTGGAGATCCAAGAGCCAGTGTACTCAGGGGTCAGAGTGAGAACATCCAGATTACAGCTCTTCACATCTATAAGAGACACACTCAAGGGGCAGACTCAGTGAACACCAAAGCTCCACTGAAGCAAGTCCTGCGACTCAGTGACCAAAGCTCCACTGAAGCAAGTCC